GTGACGTCGAGAGTCGAAGTCGCCTTTCCACTTGGTGAAAACAAACCCGTCGCTCACAGATGCCTCATGATCAGCGTAAGTGGAAATGGCATATGAATACTTTGATTCTTTAAAAACCGAAGCGAAAAAGCAATATGAAGCAAAACTAGAAGCTGTGCAGGTAGATGAGTGCCTATACCATCTGCTTGCTGAAATTGCGATCGACGATCCTTCGAAATAATGAATATCCCGACATCTACGACACGCCATGTAATATAATGATTTTACAATAATCTATGATTTTTGGCTGTATTGAATCATTTTTCTGGGAAATCAATGCAATTTCTTCCTATTTACTAGGTGTTTATGTAAAGGAGACAATGAAGTCACGTAAAGGCCTACATGTGCACAACACATTTTTCTCTTTCCACAATAATTTGAAATGAGCCCTCTTCAATTGTTTCATCTGCTGAGCTATATGATATTTCAGACAGAGGTAACAGAAAATTGTGGTTTCTTCTGAATGCTTGGCATCTCCTTAGCTAGGCTTCTTTTCTTCCTATTTCAAATCTTTTTAACAGTATGACTGGTTTGTATACATCTAAAGGACAGTGCTTGGGATAAAGTCTGGGTAAGTTGGATCCGGGGATGGTTTGCTTGTAAATTGAAATTATGATAAATCAATTTATTACAGAAAAATGTAAAATTACTGTTGGGCTTTTTCGAGTGCATAACTGCTGCCAAAACCTAATTTTGGCAATGTTGACCTTGTTTAGCCTTGGTAGATGGTGTAAAAAGAGTTTGGAAGTGATTATCTGTCTCTAGAATTTTAAAAGGTGTAAAATATCAATATGTAATAAAATGTTATGAGCAGATGTAAACATTCTATCAGGCGCCCAAGCACTCCCATCAGCATTCACGTGTTTCATGGCCTGTACCCATCGCTTCCATTTTTCAGGTTTCTTTTGACATCTGAGAATTTATGAAAGGTTAAACCTCTTTTTCCCATCATGTTGTGGTTCAAACAACCAGCGGCAACTCAGCTCCTCGGCATTTTCACTCAAAGAAACCAAATTTTCGGAATAATTCAGCGACTTTGTAAGCAAAGAGCATTGAGTCTTTTAACAAAAGAGGGTTTGTTTTCACCAAGTGATTGTTGCTAGGGGTGGTTGCTAGGCATTACCAAATTGGTCTGTAGCAGGGGAGAGGGCATGAGAGGTGCCAGAGGAATTGTGGGGTAAAATATAAATGACATGCACAGAAACAGTCACTATATTGTCTTATGCAGGAAGCTGCTGCTCCCATCCCCCACACAGGAAACAAAGATTCCACATACTGACACAGAAGAGACCATATGACAGATGTGGGAATGCCTGATGCCAAGTCTGTACGATGCTTTCTCCTGTCATGAACTCATGGAGGATTCTAAGTTTTTCCTGGGTAGAATATGGGGCGCAGCTTCACCCCATACCCTACTGAGCCCCCTCCGTTAGACAACATAGTGAGTAATTCTGTGTATATTCATATTTTACCCACCAATTTCTCTGGTACCTTTCATGCCCTCCCCTAATATCAGGGCTAAGAATGTGGGAGTTTAAGGTGTTTTCACACAACAATATCTATATTTTGATGTTAGAAAGTGAGAGGAATCCATCAATACCAAAATCATCACAATAAATTATGCAGAACTACTGTGTTAGAAAGTGAGAAGAATCCATCAATACCAAAATCATCACAATAAATTATGCAGAACTACTGTGCAAAATTACCCATGAAAGGTACTCTCCAACCATAAAAAGTATACCACTTCTGCCAACACTAAATGAGGCATGGGTTTTTTCTGGACGATGACTCAGCCAAATTGTGACGGGCAACACATGCACGAATATACTATAATGTACAGTCACAGTCAGAACTCTTGCAAAACATGTTAAAAGACTTTTGCCTGCAACTGTTCATTAGAGTATGTGCATGTGTTGCCAATCATAGTTTGGCTAGGGACTGCCTCCCAATTTTCACCATGGTAGACAAAGAATTCTCCACATTTAGGCCTACTCATTATAGGGAAGTGTGTATTCAGTGACTACATCTCTTAAAAAGTATTTGATATAAGTCTTATAAAGACTTAGGAAGGTCTTAAATTTCATTAGCTTGTACCTATATATATGTGTGTGTATATATAATATACATATATATATAATATATATATATAATATATATATATATATATATATATATATATATATATATATAATATATATATATATATATATATATTATATAGTTATATATATATATAATATATAATATATATATATATATATATATATTATATATATATATATAATATATATATTATATATAATAATAATATTTATACTTATATATAATATATATATATAATTATATATATATATATATATATATATATTATATATATTTATATATATAAGTATATGTATATATTTATATATACAAAAATATGTATGTATGTATTCATGTATGTATTGCCAGACAAAAAATTTCACCTCCAGACTTGTGTTGTCCCAGTTCAATATGTGGGGAACTAGCATGCGAGGCCAGTCAAATTGATGCAGTGCTCCATTTACTGTTATTTCTTTCACAACTTCCAAGTCTATGATTCCCCTGGGCAATGCTTTTATTCATTCATTGCCTTTGTAATTCTTTTCCCTTTCTACTAGTGTAAACACAGATGCCAACACTGCACTGACATGCTGACCCATCAGATTGTTTTAGTTATCTCCTGCTAAACATTTTAGGTATTTTATTAAGGGATATTTTACTATGAAGTAACTTAGAGAAAGGTGTATTTTGTATTAAGAGAATATTGATCACTTTGATTTCTCATTCACAGAATTTGAGCACTATGACCTCTTTCCACGAGCCCTTGGGGAAATTGTGGAGCGTTACCATGTAAGAGAACTTCATCTTAGCCTAACCCAAGGTTTTTGGCGTCATCGAAAATGGGGATATCCTGTCATAGATGCCCCACCAGGTGCCCAGTTGTGGGTGTGGTTCAACCCATCAGATGAAGAGTAAGTTCAGGAAAAATTAAACTGTGACTTTTCTAGCACTCCCCCCCCCTCTTTTTTCCCCGTCTCTGTATGTGGATGCTTCACTGCCATAACATGCCTCAAAATACAGGCATTAGGCTTAGCCTACATGAGTGACCACTTTAGGTGTTCAGCTTGTAGACTGATTTGCAGTAACTAAATTCCTTGCTACCCTTTTTTTATTTTTTTACTTTTCTGTATAATTTTTGTTTTCCCCATGTCTATAGTTGTTATTTGATTTGTTTTATTCGAATATAAAAAGACTCCATATCATATCTCAAGGTAGTCTTTTAACTCAGTGCAATGATGATAATAGTGAATAACATTTTGTTGTTTGTCTTCCTTCTTTTTTTTTTTTCTCCCTTTGATAGCATGTTCAATTTTTTTTCATGACACAATGGATCTATCTTCATATCATAATCATGCTTTATAAAAGTTTGCAAGATGTATTATGATTATAAACATGATGAATGAGAGGTTTTGAATTCATGCTAGTCATTGCAGATGCATTTTAGCAGTTGTTTTGAGATGATGAATAATTTTATTTCTTTATTCTGCAGCTTGGATCAGACTTGGCGAGATTTGGTGAATGCTCTTAGTGGTCTCGTGTGTGCTTCTCTAAATTTCATTGATTCAACTAATACAGTTTCACCAGAACTTAGTTATCGACCATTAGGACTAGCTGAAAAGTGGTAAGGAAACATATTTGTTTTTGATTGTTGAAGAAATTTTAACTTAATCTTTATTGCTATTTTTATTTTTTTTATTATCAACCTCAACAGGAGTAGCATTATCATAAAAGTTTTGCTTTAATCTTTCAATATCCATTGCAGTGTGACACTGCTTTCAGAAATATGATGAGAATATGGGTAATTTTCTGCTAAAGTCATCTACATTTTAAAAAATAGCCCTGTAAATTGTTACATTTGGAAAAATAAGTTTACAACTCTCTCTCTTCTCTCTTCTCTCTCTCCTCTTCTCTCTCTCTCTCTCTCCGTCTCTCTCTCTCCTCTCTCTCATCTCCTCTCTCTCCTCCTATCTTTCTTTCTCTTTCTCGTTCTCTCTTTATTTTTCTTTTGCTCTCTCTCTCTCTCTTTATTTTTTCTCTCTCTCCTTCTTTCTCTCTTTCTCTCTCCCTTTCTTTCTCTCTTTCTCTCTCCCTTTCTTTCTCTCTCTCTCTCTTTTTCTCTCTCCCTTTCTTTCTCTCTCTCTCTCTTTTTCTCTCTCCCTTTCTTTCTCTCTCCCTTTCTTTCTCTCTTTTTTGGTCTCTCTTCTCTCTCTCTCTCTCTCTCCCTCTCTCCTCTCCCTCTCCCTCTCCCTCTCCCTCTCTCCTCCTCTCTCTTTTTTTCTCTCTTTCTCTCTCCCTTTCTTTCTCTCTTTCTCTCTCCCTTTCTTTCTTTCCTCTCTCTCTCTCTCTTTTTCTCTCTCCCTTTCTTTTCTCTCTCCCTTTCTTTCTCTCCTTCTCTCTCTTTTCTCTCTCCCTTTCTTTCTCTCTTTTGGTCTCTCTTTCTCTCTTTTGGTCTCTCTTTCTCTCTCTCTCTCTCTCTCTCTCTCTCTCTCTCCCTCTCCCTCTCCCTCTCCCCTCCCTCTCCCTCTCCCTCTGCCCTCTCTCCTCTCTCTCTCCCTCCTCCTCTCCCTCTCCCTCTCTCCTCTCCCTCTCCTCTCTCTCTCCCTCTCCTCTCTCTCTCTCTCTCCCTCTCTCTCTCTCTCTCCGTCCTCTCCTCTCTCCCTCTCCCTCTCCCTCTCCCTCTC